AGGCTGTATATGATTTTCTTTTTTTGTGTCCATCTCTGTATTCCATTGCATATGCTACATAGACATAGGTATAAGCACAATTTGTATGTCATATTCTCACACTTGGTACACAAAATAAAATAAAATATTTATATACAGCCTTCCCATATCTGCATTTTGTTCAGATTTTGCCTACCTTTCTATGCTAAATTCCTGGCTCTGGTTTACCAGAGTTCAGGTCTCAAAAGTGATAATTTTACCAATCCATTCCCATAGCCCACAAGTAGCTCCAGCCTGTCTCTGGACTGAATTGTCTCACCTCCTAGGTCTTCGTTACTTGAGCTCAAGGACTTATCAGGTTAGTAGATGAACTGGACTGAATTGTATTGTGATTCTAGCAGTAAGTTTCTAAAAGCTGATAGCCTAATTAATTTGATCATAAGAATCGAAATTACAAGCATTGAATTTGAAATGCAGCCAAATCCACTATTGGCACTGGTTTGCAGTCAATTGTTGATGGTCAAATAAAGAAATGCTGCCCCTGCCCTTAACCCTCCCAATACAAAACTTATGGATGTCTGTGTATGTGCACTCATTATCACCATTCTCAGCCAGAGCCAGGGCTGCCCAGAGGGCCATGTATATAAATCCCCCTTATCTGTAATTCTACATGTCAGATATAACATATAAACAGTCCTATATTGTGAAATTCCTGCTGCGCAATTGCCTGCAGTGCATGTAGACTGATTTGGTAGGTGGTGGGTGTGCCCATTCTAAGTGAAATCCTAAGCAGTATCAGTCAACTTTGAGTGTCCCTATTAATATTTGATCAAGATTGTGATACCTAAGTAACCATGAGGACCCCTGATTATCCTTATGGAACCCCCCATGATTATTTCTCCAAGCTTTCCAAAGGCTCCAGCAATCAGATTGTATGTACATTTTCAATCAATTCATCAGTCCCACATCACATGCTTGACAAAATGTTCTGTCACAGGTCACTTGGCTGATGAAAGGTTTGCATGTCATGCATACCTAAATATAGCAATTTTATGGTTAACCTGACAAAAATTTTCTATTGTCACCACCCTCTAGCTAAGGTGATGAAACAAAATTTTCATCAGGTGTGTCACAGTCCATATCAGTGACAAATTAATAAAAAATGTAGAGTATTTTGCTACATATATACTGGAGTGGTTTTTGCATTTCTTGCATCTAAATCTCTTAAAATTTTGGCCCTACCTAAGCTACTTCATGCATCCAGTCAAAATTATGGAACCTGCTGATGAGCTCTATAACTTGCTGTTTGCATATTTTCCCATATTTTTGCATTCATTCTACTGCTGACAACCCTATGATTATGTCATGTCACCTTGCTTCACATCTGAATACAACTTCTCAGGGGACATGTCAAAATCAATACAACCAAATAAAAAAGCCCCTTTTTCATGGGAGGTCTGAATTCATGATATCTACAGTATTTATCTGTGAGGTTTATTCTATGCTAAGTTCTCATCATTACCCATCTGTTTATAAATAGACCAACAGATTTTATTTTTACATGACCACAGATATTTTATTCATACACTGGGTCTGAGCCTACCCATGCTAAAATTGTCTGGACTCTGATACAGACCTCCACAAGAGACCCAAAATTGCCTGGATTGTGACACATACATGTCCAGATTTTAGGGCCTAAAATTGGCAAGATCTGCAGGCTCAAAAGTCAAAAATTTGTCCTGACCTTGTCAGACCACTTTACTTACACCTGTTTTCTAAAATGGAAATCACCAGTAATTCAAAACTGACTCACATCTGGTGACCCTGTTTTTGGGCTCAATATTGAGTTTTGGCCTTGGCTCAAAAGGAGGAGTACACTGAATATATGTACCTCAAGAGAGCCTTGTGACCAGATTAAAAATTTCTGATGTTCTTGTAGATTTATGGTCCATACACCCCCAAAAAGCCTGTCTAAAATAATATGAAAGATGAATTTCAAAATTCAATTCACAACAAATTGTGGCCCCAAAATAATGCAACATTTTATCTCCCACACAGTAACACCAGAAATGAATGAGGAATGAGAAAATGTGGGTAGCCATGAGCAGCCTAAATGTGAAACACAGCCACAGCCAATTCCTATAACACCATTCAGACACAGTTGTCTGCTACTTTTTGTAAAATAAATGCGGCATACATATAGGCCTACAAGTTTCGTTATTGGAAATAGGTAAAATAAGTGTATCCTGGATGTAAACAACCTCACACGGCAGGAATCACATTATATAAAGACTCTTTATAGTGGTTTCTATACGCGATCAGGATATATGAAATATAAAGACATGTAGAAAAAGAATTTTTACATCAAATATTGAGATATGTATAAAGTAAATAGATATTTCAAGTAGAACAGTCTGCAAATGGCAAACTTTATGTCAAGTATGGCTTATTGTAGAAAAGACATTTGTATGTAACACAGAAAAAGTCACAATACACAGTACAATATGCAATGTACAGGCACTATTTCTACATGAAATAAAAATGGGCTTCATACATGATAACAGTATGTGAAATATAAACACTTTTTATACTCTCAGCCCCACTTATTGCCCACTTATTGCCCAGTATAAAAAAAGTTTATATTTCACATACTGTTATTGTGTATGAAGCTCATTTTTATTTCATGTAGAAATAGTGCCTGTATGTTGCATATTGTACTGTGTATTGTGACTTTTTCTGTGTTAGGTATGAATGTCTTTTCTACAATAAGCCATACTTGACATAAAGTTTGCCATTTGCAGACTGTTTCTACTTGAAATATCTATTTACTTTATACGTATCTCAATATTTGATGTAAAAATTCTTTTTCTACCTGTCTTTATATTTCATATATCCTGATCGTGTATAGAAACCACTATAAAGAGTCTTTTTATATAATGTGATTCCTGCCATGTCAGCAGGTGCATTTTCCAAATGGGGAATGCCAATATTTTTCTCAGCCACGGCTCTTGAATTACACTTCAGTGGGCTCTAGGTGACATTATAATTATTTAAAGGCACTAATTTATACTCTAGGTCATATATACACATCATATGTCAAGATACAGTATGTCACCTGGGACATAACAGTATTTGTCCCCTTGACAAAATTAGAATACTACTGCGAACAATAAATAGATTATTGTTATACTTTTGCCTACTAGAGATAACCTAAGTGAGAATTAGATTCTGGAATTAATTATTTGGGGCAGACAAAAGAATAAGTCATATTCAGAATTTATCTGGAGGATATAATCTAAATCTGGATAACATGTTTGTTTAGGGGGCATAACTATTGTCAGAATTTGATTGCAGCAATTGTTCCGTCAGGTCAACAAAAGTGTTTCCCGTATTTAGATTATTTCTTAATGACAAAATTATTGTTTGGCCCTGGGCAATAATTTTGTCATCAAGAAATAATCTAAATACAAGAAACACTTTTGTTGACCTGATGGAACAATTGCTGCAATCAAATTCTGACAATAGTTATGCCCCCTAAACAAACATGTTATCCAGATTTAGATTATATCCTCTGGATAAATTCTGAATACAGGTTATTCTTTTGTCTGCCTCAAATAATTAATTCCGGAATCTAATTCTCCCTTAGGTTATCTCTGGTAGAATAATTTGAAAGAAAATTTAAACCTGTGCCTGACTCTTCAAACCTGAAACCATAACCCTTTGACAACAGTGGGAGTCTTATGACCCAAGAGCCCTATCCTCCTGACTCTTCTAGACCACATGACAGGTACAGTAGGCTAGTTTTGGAGCCTCTTGAGTTGTCCTGAGTCATTTGGAACCTGACTCTGCGAGAAAAGAGTTATTTTTGACTTGGCAGCGAGTATACATAGCAGGGTTGAGGGTTATGCTGCTAGGGCATGTGACTTCTGTGCACTTCAATATGAGGCCTTGAGTGTCGAAATGCAGGATGTTAAGTTGTTGGAATAGATAAATGTTGAAATAATAATGTGAATAACACGAAGTTGGCCTGCCAGAAAGCTTCTTTGGAGAAATAGGACCGTGGGAAAGTGAAATTGCCTTATGCGGAAAGGACTTGGATTATTTTGAGGGAGGATTTTGAAATTGAAGGTTGAGCTGCCAGAATACTAGACTTTCCTAAATTCATAGGAAAGTCCATGTTTCAACTTGAAACCATTTCGAGGTGTGACACTGTGACATCGACCACATTTCAGTTTTAGTAAGATTGCCTGTGATGTGTGACTACCAAATAGATTGAAATTGTACAGTATGTCTGAAGTGCCAGGCTGACTCAATGCTGAAGTGATCCCACTGACACATCCTCATGATGATGTGCCATGTACAGATTGTAAAACTTCCGGGGGTGCTGCACAGTACTAAATTGGGAATTGCACTGTGAGAAAGATGTTGGCCGAAAGCTAAAATCATTGGAAATTGCTAAAAAAAAATCATTGGAAATGCACAGAAATGATCAGAAAAGGTCAGAAAAGGTCAGGTGACATCAGTGGCATGTGGCACAATCTTAGTGCTGGTGTAATGTCAATTTACGCAAAGAGAGCAGTGTAGAGCTCATCACCAGTACCCAATAGTAAACAGGCTAGTACCTGGAAATGAAATAAGATAAAATAAATAGATGGGGAAGTGTGAGGGGATGGATGGTAGGTAACATGAAAGTACAGTAGTGAGCTGACACAGACAGTGAACAAGATAGGGAGAAATTTTTATAGGGTTGGAGTGACCTATGTATAATGAGATAAACAGTGATAAAAATAAGTTCAGAGGTGTAAAAGGGAAAATCTGTAGCAGGCTCCAGAGGAGGCTCCAGGGAGTCTTCAGAAAGCCTGTACTAGTGTCAAGGGGATAAGTCTGAAGGGTACTAGTCATGAGCTCCATATGTCCACACACTTCAGCCTGATTAGACTCAAGTAAATGAGGATTAATCCTGCCAGTGCCAATTAAATGGTGAATGTGATAATAGCTGAGGATCAATACCTTTGTAATATGGCCGCCTGGCGAAATGGCATCGCGTCTGACTACGATTGATTCCTAATCAGGAGATTGCAGGTTCGACCCCTGCGGTGGTCATTTATTTTTTCTCTCCTTTATATATATAATTGCATTGCAATTACCAGTCTCAATAAACATCTTCCAGACTATGCTGTGCCTTACAGCAAGTTGAGTTCTATGGACGAATATCATCCGTGGGTGTATCCGCTTTCCTTCTAGGTGAATATGTGCATTGGATCAAGGGTGTATGAGTGTAGATGCGGATATATCTATCTTCCCCCGCTGAGCATTAGCATGAGCATGAGCAGCGAAAACTTAGAACACAAGAAAATCAATAGCCCCGCAACAAAAGGAAAGAAAAGAAAGAAAGAAAAACCCAAGAGGGAACGAGAGAAGGAAAAGAACCTTCCAACAAACAAACGGACCGCCCACACCTCAACCCCAACACCACAACTGGGGATAGAAAGAGATCATCTACCGACCTCTGCTATCCCCCTCCTTTTTCGTTTACCCGCTACCCGTTACCAGTTTCTGCTTTGTTTGTTTTTTTGCGTGGGAAGGGTTTGGAGTTGGATGAGGGTGCTTTGAGTGTTGTGGTAGCTAATAGTGATGCTAGACGAGCGGGCGACGGGTGAGTAAGCGAATGGATGAATGAACGAACGAATGAATGGCATAAGAGGAGTCCCTTTGGGTTTGATTTCGATCAGTGCGCTGGTGGGATTTTTACCAGCAGCAGATCACGGGGAAGGCAGAAAAGAAACGAAAAGCGAATGCATCAGATCCTGCCAGCGCATCGTGCAGTAGATGATCATGATGAATGAACAGTAATAACAGCCCAGCGTCACAGCATAGAACAAACGACAGGGGTGAGTGATATCTGATGCACGACGGAGACCTGTCGGAAAGGGGCACGGGAGTTAAGGCAGAGCGCGATATCACCCTTTTAGTCTCCCGTAGGCAGCCGTAATAGCAGAGAAGATAGTCGTTCTCACTATACTCACCCTTTCAACCTTCGTTTAACGGGAGTCGCATTGGAAAAACCGGGATCATGCCATTGATATACACACGTCGCCGCCAATGGCAATCACCATGATGCCTAGCCACATTACACCTTCTCGAGTCTGCGCTTCGTTTATTCCGGCCTCAAACATAATGTTTTTGCCTTTCCACTTGCATAGATCAATTCCAGGAACCTTCGGGAATGTTTTGATGATCATGATTTTGTTCAAGTACATTTAAATAAAATTTTGTATCGATTTCTTTTGAAAGTGCTCGAAACCGTGCCCGACGTCGGGCGAATTTTGAAAATTTGAAGTCGGATTCAGGCCTTGTTATTATATATATCAGGACAACCCGAAGCTTATTCTGATTTGGCTCCCATGTTGCTCCCATGTCGGAACCTAAGCACTTCATATTGGATCTACTCCGTCTAGTCAGATAATTCAATTCAATTTTGTGACCGACTCGCGCGCGCTAGCCCGCTAAGATACATTGCACTATTAGAGAAATATATATATAAGGCATGGGATACAAGCATGAAGTATACGAGTCTACAGATTTCCACAGAACAAGAGCAACCGTTCTCATTGAACAATTATTGATTACCAAGTTTCGTCATCTTTCCCTGACAGATTGATGTTCCCTATGTCTTCCTTCAATTCGAACATCTCTGCTGTATTAATGCGATTTCCGTTCAGCAGCTCGATGATTTTGTCAAGCGCACTATCACGGCGCAACCGGTCGAGGACACTCTGCCCTTCGATGTGCTTCCTGATTTCCTCGTGAACATCCGACATCATGATCGACTCCTTGTAAGTCTTGAAAGCGAGCTTCGCAAGGCGACGCGAGACCGGAACCCGGTAAATAGCAACCAGCCAGAAAACATTTTGCATGACAAGAGTCAGATCGACAATGTATGCCATGAGACGTCGCAATGTGTCGTGGCTAAGATTTCGCTCGGCGCAGTCCGTATAAGCAGAAGCAGTGGTATGCTCACGATTTTTGGTAGACGTCATAGACCCATTTGGCGAGGACGAAGCAGCCGGCAATAGGCATGATGATGGGAGCAGCGGGGCCACCTAGGGCTGAAACGATCCCGGCCATGGTACCAGCCATAGACATGCCGACGGAACTGATAGCCAGGGTGGTCAATAGTACCTACGCCCAATCAGCGGGACTCACATGGTCTCCTTGGGGTCCGAAGCGCTGTTCTGACTCAAGTCATCAACTAAGTTGGTGATCAGTGCTTTGAACTCTTTGCTACCCAAATGCTATGTAGAGATATTAGTAGGAATTCTGGCAGTTACGCAACAATAAACTCGCTCTGTGAGGGTCATTGAGACTCCAGATTGTGATAATTTCATTATGGATCACATCCAAGCATTTCTCCAAGGCTCTATTTGCAAAGCTCGTACTCGATGCCAGGCCTTTCCAGTATCCTTAATTGGTGGAACTTGAATGTTATCAATATCTGTTGCGCGCATGGCACTTACTCATTCGGCCAACGCTTAAATAGCAGATGAGGATGTGGTCAGATGGATGGGAAATGGCTTACGCAATACAGCCTTCAATGTTTACACCAGGGTTCACCCTTTGAGCAATCGCTGTGACCACTGAGGCTTCCGTCGCGACTTTAGTCTTAACAAGATCGAACGTAAGTTGTACCAGATTCGAGAGCGTATATTCGTATCCACTATCAACTATAATATATGTGAATGAAGAGGGTAGCGTTGATTCACCTCAGACTCACTAGAGACAGTCACGTTTGCGACTTCCTTGCCAGCAACCTTCTCCAGAGGCTCGATGCATGCCTTTTTGATAATCGCATCCGCCTCGCGTTTAGCATCTTCGACCAATGATTTTGACCCGGCCATGTTTCTCTTCAAACGAGAAATGAGGAGATCGTACTTGGTGAAAACCGTAATGATCGGAGCTAAAATCAGGTCAAATCAACATGGGAATATTTGCATTGGTACTGGTCTGGATGGGTACTTTGGTGCTCTAGTCGCAAGAGCTTCTCAATCCCAGTCTCGAGAATTCGACCTTCCGCACGTGGTATTCCAAAACACAACCTGTGTTCAGCTAGTAATTTTCCTGAGCATAGGCATAACGGGACAGCGACTCACCAAATGGCATGTATCTTATCCTTAAGATCTGGCATGGCGCTTCGACTCTCGATGAAATTCTTGACGGTTTTAAAATTGTTGTCCTCGCCGGGTTCAAAGCCTTGGCTATCGTGAAGAACAAACTGATCATTGGCGCCAGAGATGATCTCTGTATTGATGTCCGATACGCCTACGTTGGAGTCTGACACGTGCTGCATGAAATCATCAGGGAGATATTCAGGATTGCGGAAGTAAAGATTAGCGAACTCACTGCATGTGTGATTCCGAAAGCAGCATTAATCACAGACGACTTCCCGACCCCGGTCTATGAGTGGACGTGACATCAGAAGCTGCATCATTGAGGATAAACAAAAATATTTGACCCTTCCTATTACTAAAATGCGAAAGCTAACGCAACGCTGAATGTCAACATATAGTCGCCAGTACGAAAATGTACTCGCCGAGGACAAGTCAGCATGATCTCCTCCGTCGTCGATGGCAGCTCGGAGTTCTTTTGAAGCTGCGAATCGCTCTCCTGCTGGAAAACATGATCGACTACGTTCTAGTTCACTGCCTTAGTCCGTCGATGTATATCTAACCAACATCATCCTTACTGGGGTTACTATTTCCAATGAATAACGAATGGTTATATCCGCTCCGTCGTGTGATTTCGTCCATTCTGAATGTGGAAAGAATCTAAGTATCGGGAGCTCCGGCGATCGAGCTCATCACGCTCACCTCTTTTGTCTTCGTCTCCTCGGTCCTGGCTAATTATCTCTGATGCATCAATGCTGATTTGTTGAACCTTCCTCGGAATTGAAAATGGGCCCAGATGACGGTGGTAGTGAAGGTTGAAGATAATCTGATGCGACGAAGATTCAAACAGATGACTATGATGAACAATAAGATCGCTTAGTTTCATTTTACGTTCGCCATTTGACAGATTGCTCACAATGAATTGAATGCCGCTTGAAGTCCCCGTTCATCGATGCGTTCCCAGGTAGCTGGGTTAAGCTGCTCATCGAGGAAGAGTTCGATCGATTTCAGCGACTTATTAGCTCTAACTGATACGCCTAAATGCTGCAAAATCAGGTGCGTTCATCACAAATGAAGGCGAACGTTACTGTTTATCGAAGCAACGGCTGGGCTAGCAACTGCAGGGCCAGGGTTACGAGCAGTCATGATAGTTTGATACTAGGGACAGGTCTGTGATGACGTGTCAATGATGCGGATTGGTTATAGTACAGAACCCCGATTCACCCATGAGGCTTCCCCGTGTACGACCCTGGCATGTTTGTAAATGAAATGGTCACCGCAAGTCAGTGGGTATAACGCCCTCCACAGATCACTCTTGGCACAACATCTCGAGAAGACAACCTGCGTGGCGATTACTTGCGTTTTGATACAGAGCAGGTAAGATGATTCTGGGCTTCGCTTAATAAAGAAACGCAGGAGCCGTTCAGAGCATAATCAACTCTGACTAGACTCTTTCAGGCATTCCAGGCACCTGGAACGCTGCAAAGATCCAAGGATGTATTAGCACTGGTGCATGCATATTTAATAAAAACGTAGTTCAAAACTAACGGACTGCGGTGAATACTTTGATTGAATAGCATATGCTTGATCCGGACCGTTCTGTTATGAATGCACGAAACAATCGATAATGCTGAAAAGGTCGATCAAAGTGTAAGGATGCTGCAGCCTCATTTCAAAGTGATTCTGTGAAAGACAAAAGAAGGGTCTGATGTCGGTCTACTTCGGAGGAAGGTCTGGGTCTGGCCCGGGGTTGCCGAGTGGAGTTTATCGATCATCGGATATTGGATATGAACATTGTAACAGTGGCCAGTGTCTAGACTCATAGTTCGTTGGCAGTCGGACATCGCGCGGTTGCAAGGAACATTCCGAGGAGTCATGTGTTCGCGAAGTTCGAACGGCCGCTTGATACAGACGCTCAAGCTGGATAAGTATACTTGC